TGTTTTTATTGGTCTTCAGTAATATTCTAATTTTCTGATATGATGAATTTGGGATTTTCATTTGTTGTCATTTGTAATCATCAAAATGAAACAAAATAAACATCTGAAATATATGAGTTTGTATGTAATGTATGAATATAATATACAAGTTTCACTTTTTAAATGGAATTACTGAAATCAATCTACTTTTTCATGATATTCTAATTTTATGACCAGCACCTGTAGATCGATACCGCGTCAACATATCAACATATAAAAATATGGCAAAATGTTGTGAATTTTCGGGGGATTTCGTAGCATAACGATGACATATAGCAATATTTCATTAGTAAAAGAGATTGATATGGTGTTTTTAAATGGCAATATATCAGCATATGAAGATATTGGGATATTTTAATGTATCAATATTATTTCCCTCGTCTTTAGAAGTTTTTAAGTCTGTAAAAACTGAGTTTTTTTTAGACTTTAGAAACTCAGAAGCTGATCAAATATCGGGTTAAATATCGGTGGGGTGGCCGATGTCCGATATTCAGTTTTAAGGCCAATACCGATAGGGGGCCGATTATATCGTGCATCCCTAATTTAAATTACTCCGTTTGTCCTCCATGCTGCTCTTTTGTCTCCCGCTATCTTCTCTGTGAGCAACACTTGGCTCGACCAATGGGATGAGGGGAATCTGGATCATTACATATATGCTGTCAGCTCATTGGTCACAACTCAGAACGCATTTTGTCCCGTTTTACTCTGAGAGTAATACGGGACAAAATGCGTTCCTTTTCCACTAAATACGAGACAGATACTTCTATTTCTAAATACGGAGCATTTCCGTGTTCCAAGGGACGGCTGGAAACCCTGCATCCACATAAACTCGCCTACACATAAGTCAAATTTCCATGCTTACTGTTGTGAGAAGAAAAGTGTAAAAATGGGTCCAAATGAGCTTAAATTATTTATTGTTTTCTCCTAAAATTGATTAATAATGAATCTATAGACTACTTTAGATGGTTATTATTGGACATGAAATGGATTTCTTGGTGTTCTGCTTGGAAAGTAAGGCTGGATGTTCTGATGTCGCCTATTTTCCTGTCAAACACCAGGAAAAGTGTAATCCTGCTGTTCTGGACTCCAACAGGGTGGGGACGCTCAGCCCTCTGATTGTATAGCAGGATTCACACATATCTGTTTCTTTACTGCATCGCTACCAGGCTCTAGCCTCGTGAGACCATCCTGATCTCGCGAGCTTTCAAGGTTTCACTCGCAGATCAGTTTGGAGACTCTCCGTTGAAGAAAATTTGGAGCCGTTCACCAAATGAACGTCCAATCAGCGTTGGCTTTGAGGCGGGTTGAGGTGTGACGCAACGAGAAGCGCGACAGTTCAGTCTAAAGAACATGGCGGCTTCAGCCGATGAAACTAGCATTAGCGTGGCTATCGAGCAAGTTTTATCGGAATTACAGAGTATTTCTTCACTGAAAGAAGAGCAAAACACTGCTCTGGAGGCTTTTCTCAGAGGAAAAGATGTTTTTGCTCTTCTCCCGACTGGTTTCGGCAAGAGTTTGATCTATCGATTGGCTCCTCTTCGTCGTCGCTCTGTTAGTACGTCATATGCTTCGTTGATCTGATTGGTTTATTTGACCCGTCTATCACCAACATAGGCCAATCAGCTAACCAGTATTTTCGCCCCTTCCCAAAATTACTTCAACGGAAGGTTTCCAGATGGATATGCGGAGCAAATCTCATGGATAACATTAAAACAGAATCCCAGAAACAAACGGCTCTGTCTTCAATATGAGCTTTACTGCTCAACTCATTTGCTTTATTCTTCTCCTCCTGTCTGCAGTTCTTGGTTTGTTCATCCTGGCATTTCTCTGTGAATGCGGTAAAAACAGTGACTTTTATAAACGACATTTTGATTTTCCTTCAGGACTTTTCCCGTCTATTAGGGAACAAGTTAAATTTTCTCCTTCATGCCTTCGCTCTGATCTGCATCTCACAGATTTCTACCTCAAAATGCTTCATAATTGCTTCAAAATGTCAGGACATGTTTGCATCAGTTTATTTGAAGCATTTAACTCCTGAGCTTGAAGGATCTTCTGACCTGATGGGATGGACGGCGAGTCTGAGCGGACCTGTCATCGTTCTCCCTTCTGAGCTTCTGGTCCAAGTTCTGTGATACACTCTGACTGTGAATCTCTGCTAGTCAGTGCATAACAGAACTTTGTCCCGGGCCTGAAAATGCTTCAGTAAAGCAGCTGATTTGTGTTTGAGGAGGATTTGACCTTTTTTTTTTTTTTTTATAAAACTGTCTCTTTTCCACACCTGGAAAAGGAAACGTAGAGAACCCATCCGGAATCAAACAGCAGTTGGTTCCTAGATGGACCCGCCTCCATCAGGGGAAAGAAGAGCCCCTTTAACAGACGTCAGAAACATGATTAGCCTTCATTTTCTACTCACCCCCATGCTGAACAACACTCTGGAGTACTTTTTTGATATCTCAAATGCATCTGGAGATCTGGGAGGCTTCTTGCTGTCTGCTGACATTCAAATAATGGAGGTCTATGGCGCCCGAGACAGAAAGGTCCATAAAAGTCCACAAAAAACGTGTCAATATTCCTCCATACTGCTCGTCCAATGTATTCCAAGTGTCCTGAGTGGGTAGCGTCCAGAATTTACTCGAAACGAAGTCATTTAGAATGTTTTTAGAGCATAAACAGTAGTGTATAGGATTTCCTGAAAGCGCGTTCACGAGTCTACGGAAACCGCGGCAGACCAAACCAGATGAAAGTGCGCATTCAGCTCGGCAAAGAACTCATGCTCTTCCTCAACACTGAAGTCCTCAGACATTTTTCTTTCGTTGTTTCTTTCTTTGCACAGGTAAACAGCACATTTCTTCTTCTACGCTTGCATTATCGGCAGAGCGACCCCCATGCAGTACCTCCGCGGACCCCCTAGGGGTCGCGGACCCCCTGTTGAAGACCTCTGGTTTAATACATCAGTTAAGATTTTTTTTATTATTTAATGCGACATTCAGAGGAAAAGTCCGGTCAGCAAGAAATAATCAGTGGATCATTATTTATACCTAAAACTAATACATTCGCAGTGATTTAATAAATTTAGCGTTAATCAGTGTAACTCCTAAGTTACAACACTGGCACGGCTTCCTTTAGACGGGCTCTTTAATAAACGCCGTGAAAACTACAGAAATGGGAGACAAAGTTTTAGATATCGATACATTAACAGAAAATCAGCTGACACACACTAACTTTAACAGAAATTACCTCGTGACCGCCTGCCACTTCAGAGGTCTTTAACAGTTAAATTCTTCCTCCTCTACTCTAAATTAAAATATGAAGTAATTAAAACACCATAACCAATAACATTGCAAAATATTACAAACATAATTACAAATACCGTAACAGCTTCAGTAAACACAAGGCTGCTCCACATAGCTCTGATCCAAGCTTCTGCTCTTTCTGTTTATTCAAGTCGCGTTGTTTTCACATATACGCAAATCTCGTGATAACTTTCAACAAACAAATAATGCAATCATTTTACACATTCCCAAAACGTGAACCAAACAATATAAAATACATTGTCTTAACTATTAGAAATAAACATACATTTTTCCAAGAAATAAATGATTTCACAATCAGTAAAAAAAATAAAACTAATAATTTCACTGAGTCTGGGAGCGGCCATTTTAGCCCAAATATAGTAGCCCCTCCCTCCTGCCATCTTCCAGCAGTGACGTCACGGTGCGGTAAGCCTAGCGCCATTCTCCCCGCTTTACAAGCTAAATCAATGGGAACTACTAGACACATCTGCAATCAACAACAATTATTGAAGATTTCCAGAGGACTTCACCATTGAAATTCACCAGAGCTATAGTGAAACTGACAATGCCCACGTGCATGGCAGCTGGATGCTGGAATACATCGGCTAAAAGTGAAAAAAAAGAGTTATTCCACCTTTCTGATTCCTGATCCTCCACGGACGGGTTGGTCGTTGGATCGCCAACTTGAAGAGGGAGGATTTGCCATCGAACTTCTGGCCAGAGAAAAAACCCGTAATATGTAGCCAACATTTGGAAGAAGAATGTTTTCAAGATGACTTGGATAATAGCGCGTTGTGACAAACACCAGATACAGCACTGGGACTTGATCAACAGCCGATACCGCACCGTGACGTCACTAACCAGTAGGTGGCTGTAGTGTTCTTTGACAAACATGGATGCCTCCAGTAAAGCACATTCACATGAAAATTACTCTGAATTAAAAACACTGATCATTTATTGAACAGGATGGAATAATTTCAGATTTAAAGAACTTTCAGAAGTTTAAATTCTGAATATGAGCGTACTTCTATTATTTAATTTATACGGATGAGGATTAAGGCCACTAAGAAAAAGAAAAGTTAACGGATTTTTAACTTTTATTTCAGTTTAACATGGGAAAAAAGTCAGAATTCTGACTTTAATCTCAGAATTCTGACTGAATTCTGACAATAAAAAAGTCAGAGTTCTGAGATTAAAGTCAGAATTCTGACTTTTTTCCCCATGTTAAACTGAAATAAAAGTTAAAAATCAGTTAACTTTTATTTTTTATTATTTTTCAGTGGCCCTAATCCTCTTCCGTACAATTGCATTTTATAATTTATATAAAAAATAATTGGATGTTTTAAATCATGGATCATCATTTTTTTTATTTGGCCCGCCGGAATAACATTAATGTTAGTGAAAATCATGGTGCAACCCTGCATTTGGTGTTTCATGACCACTTTGGAAACCTCGCTTCTGGATGGCTGATAAATACTTTATTCCAGACTTAAAAGATCACTGAAATTATTTGAGGGCATTTGATGATTTCAGCTTCTGTTGTTTATAAAAACAGTTTTTCTTCCTCTGATTGAAGATTATCTTGAGCTGAATGCATAGTCCCGTTATAATCTGGTCAAACGTTGCTGCTTTCATGAAGCCTAAAAGCTGTTTTCTGTGTTGTTGCAGGAACCTTCTCTCTATACAGTAAAAGCTGTTTTTATTCTGGATAATGATGGCAACAGACTTCTATCGAAGGTAATTCTATCAGCACTTTGATTAAATTGGAAATCTTTATTTCCTTATGATGTAGCAAATCTAAATGCTGTAATTTTATCCAGTTAATAACAGAAACCATTGAACCGGAAAACACTGCAGCACTTTGTTTTACCCATCAAACTGTAGATTAAACACGTTTTCAGTAATAGTTTGGCTTCCTGTAGAAGTTGTTTTCTCAGAGAAACTCAGCTTCACTTTCCTAATCATCATCATCATCATCATCATCATCATCATCATCATCATGAAAAATTATTTTAGCTTCACTTAAACCTGAGTTGGTTAGAAAAAGTTCAATCAGGGGCCATAAAATCCGGCTTATCATCAGTGTCTCCCCAGTAACGCCCTCAGCTTTGCCGCCGCCGCGTCACTCAGAGCACCAATCTGCAGGATTAGCTACATAAGAAAAGTTACGGGTTTTACTATATGGTCCCATATCCACCAAGAGTCCTCACTAAAAGCTGCTCCTAATGATGATATGATGCGTGATGATATCTTAGGTGTTGATTTTATTCACATGGATCAGATACGTTCTTCAGAAAGCTCTCAGGCCTTCAGAGGAACTAAAGTGAACACATGTTGCCTAAGAGATGGATGGAGGAAACGGAGAGAGCTTATTCACTCATCCAACAAGTAATCAGTGGAAGAAATGAGGAAATTAATGTCTATAATAATTATACCGTTTTTGTTTTGTTTGTTTAATTCAATTCAGTTTATTTCTATAGCTCCAATTCACATCATGTCATCTCAAGGCACTTTCCAGTTCACCAGATCATCCAGTCAGATTGATTCAAAGTTTTCTATCTAAGGAAAACCAGTTGATTGCATCGACTCATTGACTCTTCAGCAATCCCTCACACTAAGCATGCTTGTAGCGACAGTGGAGAGGAAAAACTCCCTTTAACATGAAGAAACCTCCAGCAGAACCAGGCTCAGTGTGAGCGGCCATCTGCTGAGGCCCACTGGGGTTCAAGGAGACAGAAGCAGACATAGAAAAAGAAGCATAGATACAAAAGGCAACTGTCAACCAGCTCCACAGGCGGCCCCGTCCAGGAAACACACAGCCAGGCAGACGAGCTCCGAGCCAGCTCCCATGTCAGAGGATGAAGAGAGCACATCCAGTTAGTCACAGTCAGAGAAACAGGACTACACTGGAAAACAGGCCGATCTCCAGCATCTAGAAACAAAGGTGTTGATGGCAGCAGCACAGCTGATACTGATAGGTGAAGCTACTATGAGAAAAAGCAGAGAGAGCAGAACGTTAGAGATTGAACTAACAGATTCTGCAGAGTGGGAGAATAGGGATAGAATGAAGCAGAATGATGAAAAAGGGGTCCCTATGTCCTCCAGCAGTCTAAGCCTATAGCAGCATAACTATAGAGATAGCTCAGGATAACCTGAGCCACTCTAACTAGAAGCTAAACTTTATTATCTAGGTGGAAATGAATTGAAATCAGTTTTATTTTAAGTGGTTGGAAAAATGTTGTTTAATGTGGAGCTAGTTTTCATATTTTTTTAAATGATCACTTGTTTTCCTGTTTCGTGACTTACGATGATTTATGGGTTTGCAATGTTTGTTTTATTTGTTTTAACTGTGCATTTATGTGTCGTTTGTGCCCCCTTTAAATCTGTGTTTCTTTATTTTAGTACTATGACCCTGAACTTTACCCCACCATGAAGGAGCAGAAGAACTTTGAGAGCAACGTCTTCAGCAAAACCCACAAAGCAGACAGTGAGTTTCTTCTCTTGTAAGCTGCGTACCTCCCACCCTCATGGCCCTCGCTCTCCGCCGTGCCGAGCGCTCTCACATATCCTCATTTTGGATTCTTCTTTCTGTAACCTAAAGCGCTTTTTCCATGGAGCTTGTCTCCTCTATAATAAACCCTGATAAGTGGACACTGTTGGGAGAGTATAAAAAAACGTAGCTGTTATGACTTTGGGAGAGTTTCGGCAGTTTGACAACGATGTTCACAGAAACCTGATCCCCGTCTCTCTACTGGGGTTTTACAGGATTGATACCTGAGCTCCCTGTATGCCATCCTTTGTTCCTAACTCCACCTCTTGTCCTCATTTCCTGCAGCCCTTTTTTGCCCCCTCTGTTTGCGGCTCTGTCCTCCTTTCCCCCAATCCACCTCTTTTCTCTTCTCCTCTCCCATTTCATCCTCCCATCAGCTCTCCTTCTGTGTATCGAGTTTCCGAACTGATGAATAAAGTCACGGATCACGCAAACTTCTCTTTTTCTCTCTGTAGATGAAATAGCGTTCCTGGAGGGGATGACCATCGTCTATAAGAGCAGCATAGATCTTTTTTTCTACGTGGTGGGAAGTGCTCAGGAAAATGAGGTACGGTGGTTTTTAGCTGTTATCCTTAAAACAGCCGTCCAGATATTTTTTAGAGAAAAGCTTCCAGTTCTACTCTGACATTTATATCCAGTCATCTTCAGCCTGACTGTCATATTAGGGGGGTTATTTGAAAATGAATGCATAGCATATAACATAGTTGGAAGTTCCTTTCCAGGATTTTCTATGTTTTTTTCCAATTCAGTTTATTCCTTTAGCACAGATTCACAACACATCATCTCAAGGCTCTTTCCAGTTCACCAGATCATCCAGTCAGATTGATTGGCGGCCCCTGTAAAAGGCGGCCCCGTCCAGGAAACATACCAGGCAGAGAAGCTCAGATAAAAACATCCATGAAGAGAGCACATCCAGCCATTTGCAGCCGGAATAAATCGTTTCTTCTGGAAGAAACTTGGGAGGTCAAATTTACAGAAAAGTGTTTCTTTTGGTGAATATTTTTGCCTTAAAGGAATAGTACACCCAAAACATGATTAGCCTTCATTTTCTACTCACCCCCATGCTGAACAACACTCTGGAGTACTTTTTTGATATCTCAAATGCATCTGGAGATCTGGGAGGCTTCTTGCTGTCTGCTGACATTCAAATAATGGAGGTCTATGGCGCCCGAGGCAGAAAGGTCCATAAAAGTCCACAAAAAACGTGTCAATATTCCTCCATACTGCTCGTCCAATGTATTCCAAGTGTCCTGAGTGGGTAGCGTCCATAATTTACTCGAAACCAAGTCATTTAGAATGTTTTTAGAGCATAAACAGTAGTGTATAGGATTTCCTGAAAGCGCGTTCACGAGTCTACGGAAACCGCGGCAGACCAAACCAGACGAAAGTGCGCATTCAGCTCGGCAAAGAACTCATGCTCTTCCTCAACACTGAAGTCCTCAGACATTTTTCTTTCGTTGTTTCTTTCTTTGCACAGGTAAACAGCACATTTCTTCTTCTACGCTTGCATTATCGGCAGAGCAGACGCTGAATGCGCACTTTCATCTGGTTTGGTCTGCCGGCTTCCGTAGACTCGTGGACGCGCTTTGAGGAAATCCTATACACTACTGTTTATGCTCTAAAAACATTCTAAATGACTTGGTTTCGAGTAAATTATGGACGCTACCCACTCAGGACACTTGGAATACATTGGACGAGCAGTATGGAGGAATATTGACACGTTTTTTGTGGACTTTTATGGACCTTTCTGCCTCGGGCACCATAGACCTCCATTATTTGAATGTCAGCAGAGAGCAAGAAGCCTCCCAGATCTCCAGATGCATTTGAGATATCAAAAAAGTACTCCAGAGTGTTGTTCAGCATGGGGGTGAGTAGAAAATGAAGGCTAATCATGTTTTGGGTGTACTATTCCTTTAAGCAGGTCCAGATCCAGTAATAACCTTCAGGTGGGGTTCAATATCTATGAACCAATTTCACAATTTGAGCCCGATGAATCCTGGCATTGTCATCTTGGAATATGCCTGTGCCATCAGGGAAGAAAAAGTCCATTGATGGAATCACCTGGTCATTCAGTATATTCAGGTAGTCAGTTGACCTCATTCTTTGAGCACATACTGTTGCTGAACCTAGACCTGAGCAACTGCAGCAATACCCAGATCATAACCCCGCCCCCACAGGCTTGTACAGTACTCACCAGGCTTGGTGGGTGCATCACTTCACCTGCCTCTCTTCTTACCCTGATTGGCCCATCACTCTGGAACAATCTGGACTCATCAGATCACATGACCTTCTTCCATTGCTCCACAGTCCAATCTTTATGCTCCCTAGCAAATTGGAGCCTTTTTTTCACTGATTAGTGGTTTTCTTACGGCTACACAGCTGTTCAGTCCCAATCCCTTGGGTTCCCTTCGCTTTGTGTGTGTGGAAATGCTCTTACTTTCAGTATTAAACACAGCCCTGAGTTCTACTGTTGTTTTTCTTCCATTTGATCTCACCACACGTTTAAGTGATTGCCGATCACCATCATTCAGGATTTTTTTCCATTTCTTCCTTGAAGATAATGGGTCTCCACTATCCTTCCAGTTTTTAATAATGCGTTGGACAGTTCTTAAACCAATTTTAGTAGTTTCTGCATCTCTTTAGATTTTTTCTCTGCTTGATGCAGGCCAATGATTTGACCCTTCTCAAACAGACTAACATCTTTTCCACGACCACAGGATGTGTCTTTAGACATGGTTGTTTAGGAAATGAAAAGCAAGTCATTGCACCAGTTGGGGTTAAATAACTAGTTTCCAGCTGAAAGATAATCGCCCATGCAGTAATTATCCAATAGGAGGCTCCTACCTGTTTGCTTAGTTGAATCCAGGTGGTGACTTTTTTTTTTGCCAGGCAGTGTATTACAAATATAAAATATACTCTGAGATTAAAGTTCCTCTGATACTGTTTAAGTGTCTGAATCAGCCATTCTAAACAGAAGACCTGTGGAGTTGCAGTGACGTGTGGCGTCATTTCATCTCGTTGCCACAGGGGGCAAACTCCTCTTTGTGTTATGATCCTTTGAGGTATGACTCATTTTCTATGATCTGTGTTTTGCAGCTGATGCTGATGTCCGTCCTCAACTGTCTGTTTGATTCCCTCACTCACATCCTGAGGTAAACTTTTTTCTTTTATTTTAATAAAAAAAAAAAAATTGGCTTGAATTTTATTTTTATCTTAATTATACTTTGGGCTTTGAAAGAAAAAGTTGGAAATATATTTCCTTTTTCTCTAAAAACAGAAGCAAACGTGTAAAGATAGATAAAGTTAAAGAATAGGGGAGATTAGAGTGTTTGTGTATAAATATCTATAAGAAGCACAGAGATGCGGATTCTTGGTGAACAAAGTCAATCTTTTGTGACCAAACTTCTTCTCTTCTGGGCTCTTGCTATGTTCACACCGAACGCAGCAAAAGCAGCAAAATCGCGTCTGCTGCTTCATTTTTGCTGCTTGTACCAGTTAGTTCTGACGCGCGGCTGAAGCAGCTTTGCTGCTCTGGCTGCGCGGTGCAAAAGTGGCTTTGACGCGCGTTGGGCGGAGCTACTCTATCCTTTCTCTGCCCTGCAGCTATATTTGCTGTGATCAGTGGGAATAAAGTAGTTTTAATATGTTTTTAAGTGAGAAAATACACCTGAAAACTTCATCAGTGCCGTCAGTTCATTCAGATTACCATCCTGCCTTCTAATGTTATTTCTGTTGGAGCCGCTCAGACCCCCACATACTGGCGGTGCGCTGTCAGTAGGAATCCCTTCATCAGCAGCATCTGGCCGGGTCGCCTCCTCGCGGTTCACCGCGGCGGCTGGTAGGTGTTTTTCATCTAAATAATCTAAACTGCAGGCAGCAGGATAATAAAAGCAAACATATTCTGTCGGCAGATTTCTGCATTTTAAGTTAATTTAGGCGTCAATAAACTGTTTCAGAGGAGTGATCACAGCGCTCTGTATCAGCAGTGCTGTGTCTGTCTCACGGCCAGCTCCCAGATCAGCTTCTCTGATTGGTTTATGCGGCGCGTCGAGCAGCAAAAGTTCAATTTTTCCATCCTGAGCAGCAGCGCGTTTGCGGCGCGTCAGATGCTTAAACGCGCCCGACGCGCTGCTTCAGCTGCTCAGACGCGCTGCGCCTGCTGCTCAAAACGCGCCGCGGGACCTTTTGCTGCGCCTTGACACGCGTCAACCATTGACTTTGCATGTAAACTCGCTGCTTCTGCCGCGCCAGCTGCGTCCGGTGTGAACGTAGCATCAACTGCATCTATCTTCCTGAAACAATAACAGGTGTGTTGGAAGAGGAGCTTCCATACAGTCAGATATCTGTCTTAACTTAGCCGTCTGCTGCTTCTTATCGTGTCCTGGACCGATCCCTGGACTGGACCAGAACTGAACCTTTGATGCAGAACCTCCCTGAACAAACTGTGGAGATGGTCCTGTGTTTAAAGAGGGAGGTGGTCTGATAAGAAACAAACTCACACTGGAAAAACAGTCTAGAAATAAGTAAAAAAAAAAAATTAAGTGTATTTACCCTTAATTGGAGCAGGTAAATGAGATAGTTTACCAATGGAATGATTATTTTTACTCTTGAAATAAGATAATTACATAATATGCACTTGAAAAATACTCAATGCAATTGTTTTTTCTTATTTTAAAAGTAAATTGTCTTGTTTCATCGGCAAAATGTCTCTTTTTACCTCCTCAATCCAAGAACAAATGCACTTATTTTAAGAAAAAATGCTTAGATTTCGTTTTTTTTTCCAGTGTAAAGGAATATAGCTGCTTATCCAGGAACTAGATCCTGCAAAGAGGACAGAGAAACGGATCTGAGATCTCTAGAAACTGCAGAAAAACCCATTTTAGGACTAATCCTGCTTTTGGGTTGTTCTTATCTAACAGGCAGTTTCACACGTGTCTTAAGAAATATTTTGTTTCGGATTTAAGCAAAGTCAAATAAATAAAATAAAAGTTGCAGTTGTTGTGATAGTTGAGCCGGGTGCTGGTTTTGAGAACGCATTTTTCAAAGTTTCTCTCTGGTTCCTGACATGCAGAACAGCTGCTACACCTTTTTTTCTTTTTTTTTTAAATGCAACTTGTAAAAGTACTGACTGTTCGACTACGGCAAGTAATATTTTTACCACAAAAACATCCAGAAATAAATCAACATTTCTTAAATTTAGTGTAATTTGAGCAGGTAAATAAGATGATTTGCCAATGGAATGAGTATTTTTACACTTAAAATAAGAAAATTTAAATAAAAAATGTTTTATTCTTCAAGAAAAAATTACTTATTTAGATAAAAAAAAATGTCCAGTGTTGAACGGTACCAAGAAGAATGAGGAATAAAATGAAGGAGACACATTTAAAAGTGTTTTTCTCTCTGTGTCACATGCAGAAAGAACGCTTGGTGTTAGAAGTCAATCCTCTCACTCAGGACGTAACTTAAAAAAAAATATATAATAATAAAATGATAGCTTTCTTCTTGAATTCAGAGGGTAAGTGAGTCACTCTGTCTGTGGAACAAGACAATTTACATTTGAAATATGAAAAAAACAACAATTTTATTTCAATTGCATATTATCTAATTATCTTATTTTAAGATTCTCATTTTGTTGGCAGATTATCTTATTTACCTGCTCAAATTGAGGGTAAATGCACTTAATATAAGAAACTTGCTCATTTCCAGATCGATTTTTTCAGTGTGGATCTACCGTTGCTTCAAATCTCTCCTAGTGTTTTTCATACATGAGCAACACAAAGCCAGAGTGCTGCGTTCTGCAAATATTCATTGTTTCTTTTTATTTAGACTCATAGTAGGAGATACAGGCAGTGGTTATATGGGAAACAATCAAGACAAACAAAATGCTTGTAGATAAAATGACATTGCTTTATTTTACCTCTAAATCCCTCCTTTTAAAAGATTTTGTGCCATTTAGAAAAGGCCGACAGTAAAAGTCTTTTTTTGATGTTTGATGCCACTCTATCCTGTCAGTGGTGCAGCCCACCATGCATGTTTGGTGAATGGCTGATATGACCAAACATGATGCAATTCAATTGGTAAAGGAAAATCAATAAAATAAACCATTCATTAAATATTTGGATAATAATTCAATTCAGTTTATTTCTATAGCTCCAATTCACATCATGTCATCTCAAGGCACTTTACAGTTTAACCAGATCATCCAGTCAGATTGATACAAAGTTTTCTATCAAAGGAAAACCAGCTGATTGCATCGACTCATTGACTCTTGAGCAATCCCTCACACTTAGCATGCTTGTAGCGACAGTGGAGAGGAAAAACTCCCTTTGAACAGGAAGAAACCTCCAGCAGAACCAGGCTCAGTGTGAGCGGCCATCTGCTGAGGCCCACTGGGGTTCAAGGAGACAGAAGCAGACATAGAAAAAGAAGCATGGATACAAAAGGCAACTGTCAACCAGCTCCACAGGCGGCCCCGTCCAGGAAACACACAGCCAGGCAGACGAGCTCCGAGCCAGCTCCCATGTCAGAGGATGAAGAGAGCACATCCAGTTAGTCACAGTCAGAGAAACAGGACTACACTGGAAAACAGGCCAAGCTCCAACATCTAGAAACAAAGGTGTTGATGGCAGCAGCACAGCTGATATTTCTCTCCAGGATGGAGTCACAGCCAAACAGGAACAGACCAGATGAAGCTACTATGAGAAAAAGCAGAGAGAGCAGAACGTTAGAGATTGAACTAACAGATTCTGCAGAGTGGGAGAATTGAGATAGAATGAAGCAGAATGATGAAAAAGGGGTCCCTATGTCCTCCAGCAGTCTAAGCCTATAGCAGCAGAACTATAGAGATAGCTCAGGATAACCTGAGCCACTCTAACTAGAAGCTTTATCAAAAAGGAAATAATAATAATGTGATGGAACTGGGGGATACACTGACTGCTAAGGTTTAGGGTCTATCATCCCCCCCCCCATAAATTTCTCCATTGCCCGACTGTCTCTTAGCAGTCACTGCAAAACATGGAAATCTAAATAAAACGTTTTTTTTTTGTTGAGTAGGTAAGTGAGACATTTGTCAATGGAATAATACAATTTACATTTGAAATAAGAAAAAAATAATTGCATGTCCTTATTTAAAGTGTATATTATCTAATTATCTTATTTTTAGACTAAAAATACTCATTCCATTGGCAGATTATCTTATTTACCTGCTCAAATTGAGGGTAAATGCACTTAATTTAAGAAACTTTACACATTTCTAGATAGTTTTTGCAGTGATTTAGCTTGATGTCAGCTCTTTAGAGCTGTCTGGTTTGTTCCCAGTTTGTTCTGAGCTGAACAGTGAGGCGACCCAGTTAAACCAGCGTGACCAGAACCCCGTTAAAGACCAACCAGCTGCAACAGGCAGTTTATATCTGAAGCTACAGCTGTGTTTGCATGAAAACAGGAGACTGGCTGCTCTTTTTACCAAAACGCTTTGCTGCATGATTTGCTGCCTGCTTCTAACAGCTGCTTCCCTCCAACAGAAAGAATGTGGAGCGGAGGTGTTTGCTGGACAACATGGAAGGAGTTTTCCTCGTAGTGGATGAAATCATTGATGGAGGGTAAGAAAACATCGACGGTCGGGTTTCCGGCCGATTCTGAGGCGAATCTGTAGCTCAGATGCAGCTGAAACATTTGAGGTTACTGTGATCAAATATGGCTGTGCAACATGGCGTCACCCATCGGCTGCACCGCCCCCTGGATTTATAAACATCTAATTTTACACCAGGAAAACATTTTTCTTTTTAGTCTTTCATAGAACATTTCAACATGTGCTTTAGTTTTGCTATTAAAAGTTTATATTTGTTACACACTTCGTCTTTAATTCAATTCTATTCAGTTTATTTCTATAGCGCCAATTCACATCATGTCATCTCAGGTCACTTTCCAGTTCAACCAGATCATCCAGTCAGATTGATTCAACGTTTTCTATCTAAGGAAAACCAGCTGATTGCATCGACTCATTGACTCTTCAGCAATCCCTCACACTAAGCATGCTTGTAGCGACAGTGGGGAGGAAAAACTCCCTTTTAACAGGAAGAAATCTCCAGCAGAAACGGTATTAATCAATGTATTTATCAAACTTTTATGTAACAAAACAACCAAAACAAATATTATTAATGAAAACAAATACACAGCTCATGTTAAACAACAAATCGCCGGACTAACCATCATCTGACAGTAGCAGGAATTGAAATAAATGACATAATCTCTTTTGGCTCAGCAGTAGATCTGTTTTCTTCTGGTACGACGATTGAAGCGGCCATTTTACCATTCACAGTGGAGCCTCAGTATCCTAAAGGTTACCACAGCTGTAGAACATCTGGGATGTTAGGAGAGCAGAGCTTTAATCCGACTGCCGTCCTGTAACGGCGTCTACTGGAGCTGAAATGAAATGTTCTTCCTCTAAAGCGTATATTTCTGCTCTCATTGTTCTGCAGATAAACTCTAATTAAACCCATAAATCTGTGTGGTTGGTTCCAACCCTCTCCTGATTGGTTATTATTTTCTTTCTTGGCAGGGTGATTTTGGAGAGTGACCCCCAACAGGTCCTACAGAAGGTCAACTACAGGGTAGGAAATATCACTGGGATTGTTTGATTATTTGTTTTACTTTTAGAAATGGAAAGAAAATTTAAAGTCTAAAACCCAAGCAGCTGTTTAATTCACTGTTAATAAAAAATAAGGATAAATCAAAGTGAATTTTTGATTAATTTGTGCAGGTAAATCAAATAATCCACCAATGGACTGAGTATTTTTGTCATGGCGTTAGATGACTGTCAGTAAAAATGTATTCATAAGTGTCTGAATTTTTTTAATTGAAAATTTCAGATTTGTATTTATTTAGTGTAGAAACTCATTATTATTTTGCAAATTGATTAATCTGATTATTTTTTTTTTTTTGACTAATCTGATACCCAAAGGTTCCTTGAAGAAGACTTTTTAAGATATTAAACCCGGTCAAACAAAAAACTGTTTTTTCAATTGAGGAGTTCTGAATAGATCAAATTGACAGACTTTAAAAAAAAAATCTTAAATACAAAATGTTTTATGTTTTCACAATCTTGGTATAATTCCTGCTCTAAGTGGGTTGCTCTGTCAGCCAAAGGCATGTTTTACAGTCTCTATACTCAGGTTAACGATTAATTGATTACTAAATTAGTGGCAAATTATGTCAATAATCGATTAATCCGATTAGATGTTTCAGCCCTATATCTATTCCTGTTTTCTGTTTTCTTGTGAAAAATGGGTTTTAAGCTCCAGTTACATTTAACACAGTTCAACTCTACAAAAATATGCCGACAGATCACACATTTCTAAGTACTGATAATAATTTCTGAGCATCAATCTACGACTGTTGATGCAGCTGTTCCACTCCTAACCTGTTGGTGGCAGTAAAGCACCTGGAGGATCTTTGCCAAGGATAAAAACAAAGCATGGATCGCAAAGTTTAGATTTATACTTGTAAATTAGCGATTTTTACTTGTAGTTTTGTTAAGTTTCAACTTCTAAAGCCGGACATACGCTGTACTTTTTTTTTCAATAGTTGCACGCGCTACAGCTCACAATGTACAACTAAACCGCAGGGTTTAAAAGTTCACAGCTCACCATGTTTGTTCTCACACTGTGCGACCCGACGCTCTGATGCGATCTACCTGCTCACACTGCAAGTCTAAAAACCAGGTGGGACTCAGCTCCGCAGTGAGATGGCGCTACTCGGACTCGTCTATCTGGAAGTCAAACCAGTAGGAGAGGAACATGAAGCTCACTAGAGTGAAACGCGCTGCCTTGGATATTTGTGCAATTTTGTGCTGAAAGCCCTAAAAAGAAAAGAAGACGACGTATTTGGACAAAGACATGGCTGAACAAACGTGGCTACTATTAAATTCAATTCAGTTTATTTCTATAGCACCAATTCACATCATGTCATCTCAGGTCACTTCCCAGTTCACCAGATCATCCAGTCAGATTGATTCAATCTAAGGAAAACCAGCTGATTGCATCGACTCATTGACTCTTCAGCAATCCCTCACACTAAGCATGCTTGTAGAGACAGTGGAGAGGAAAAACTCCCTTTGAACAGGAAGAAACCTCCAGCAGAACCAGGCTCAGTGTGAGCGGCCATCTGCTGAGGCCGACTGGGGTTCAAGGAGACAGAAGCAGACATAGAAAAAGAAGCAGAGATACAAAAGGCAACTGTCAACCAGCTCCACAGGCGGCCCCGTCCAGGAAACACACAGCCAGGCAGACGAGCTCCGAGCCAGCTCCCATGTCAGAGGATGAAGAGAGCACATCCAGTTAGTCACAGTCAGAGAAACAGGACTACACTGGAAAACAGGCCAAGCTCTAGGGTTGTCACGATACTAAACTTTTTTAACTCGATACCAATACTAAGGAAAATATTCGATACTCGATACCATTTTCGATACCACAAGGATAACATTTCAACAGAAATATTTTGATTAATAATTAAAATACAATAAATAAATAAATACAATAAACAATAAGAACAACATTTTGAGGTTGTTTGCTGTGCACAGTATTTAGCAAGCTTGATAAAAAACTTACAAAATTAAAATTAAGTTTTCCTTACTTGGCTATGCTTTGCACACATAACAATGACACTAGACAAACCGGTTAAGAAACAAAAATAATTCTCAGCAGCTGCACCTGTTACAAAAAAAAGTCTGAAACTGAAAAGTGCGTAGAATTATTCGATCACAGTGTTCAGAAAGTGCATTTTCCTCTATTCTGCACTTTAGATGAATGACTGTTTAGGTGCGACTGGTACTCGATACTTTTGAAAATGAGTATTGTATCCGGATACAACGTTTCAGTATCGATACTTTTTTGAGTATCGATACTTTTGACAACCCTACCAAGCTCCAACTACGGTCTGTCAATTTTACAGAAAGAACTCAATTTCACTCACCCTCGTGTTTTCGTCTGAGAGGAAGAATCCTTGTTTGCACTGAGCGATTTGCGCACGACCACCTTCCGACGGCCGAATTAATGTCAAACATGTTTAATTTTCTCCTGACTTTACGATTCCTGATGGGGAGGTGGTCGTTAGAGGCTGATCGCCCCTCGTTACCCCCTGTACACCACGCACCATCAGGCTGAAAGTCGGCCCATTCAAAAAATTCTTGCACGACTGGAGAATCGGCCTGAAAAGTGCAAAGAAAATCGTAGATTATGCCCGGCTTTAGCTTATATTCCTACATATAAAAAACGTCTGTAGGAATTACATCAACATCATACATAAGCTTAGATTTACAAATTTAGAAACCTATGTCTGCATATTTATTGACAGTTATTCTCTAACATTTGCCCTTAAGAACAATTTAGATGCTCAAATGGAGGAAAATGACGTTTATTTTAGGAAAGATTGACGGACTTCTCTTTCTACTCAGTGCTTGTTTCAGAGAAGTTTGCTGACATTGGCTTTAGTTCCCCGCAGTGTTTTCTGCCTCACCTCTCTGTCTCTCCTTCTCCCTGTCTTTCCTGCTCTGATTGCTGGCAGCATATGGCTGAGCCAGCCTATGGCTTCGTCCTGTTTGATTACATCACCGGTAACCTAGAGGCACAAACAGACAGGAGCCAGCTGCTGTAGACAGTCAGACAAACCCAGGGTGAGAGAGGGAAGGAGGGAGCCGTCATGGAGGACAGTGAGCTGGAACGAGAGACTGGATGAATGAGTGAGAGTGAAAGGATGAAGGTTTGGAGGCAAAGGGGCTTCAGAGGAAAATGAGTTGAAAGCATGCAGATGGAATAAAAGGAGAGCTATTAACGACGCTTCTGGACTGACTGACGGTGCCTGTGCTGCTTTGCATCAGCGTTGTCTGACACTCGTGTTACTTTTGCATTTTCCCTTCATTCACATTTTGTTTTCTTTTACAGGCGGACGACAACCCATTAACCGAGCAAAGCGTTGCCCAGGTAACTAACCTGCACACACCATCGCTGCAGCCAGACCTGGCTTCATACCATACATTAGAGCAGGCATCTGCAAAGTGTGTCCTGGAGGGCCGCTGTCCTGCAGGTTTTAGAGGTTTCTCTGCTCCGATTTACATTGATAGTTGATTAACAGGCTTTTGCTGAAGTGCAATCATCAGAATCAGATGTGCTGAAGCAGAGAAACATCTAGAACCTGCAGGACAGCGGCCCTCCAGGACCCACTTTGGTCCCGATAATAACCCACATGAGATTAGCAGGAATTAAACTTTATTCCTCTTTTTTTTTAGTGTGGATTGTCAGTGAAATTACTCAGAGAACAATAATCAGTGATAGATATGGGAACCACTGACCCACTGGTTTGAAACCAGGGTAACAGGAACTCTGAACTGAAGATGGTCATTTCCATCAGCATGTTTTTATATCACTAATGATCAAATGTTATGGTTACCAAAGCAAAATGGATCAAAATGACACCCAGAGCCTGAACTTCTCTGCTGGTTACTGCTTCCCAAACACCTGACTGAAAGTTTGATGGACCAGTAGATGAAGGAGCGAACTGGTGCTGAATTGGTTTCAACGCATGCTGTTCAGATCAAATCAATTCAGTTAATTTATATGGCCTCAAGTCACAACACATGTCATCTCAGGGCACTTTCCAGTTCACCAGATCATCCAGTCAAATTGATACAAAGTTTTCTATCTAAGGAAAACCAGCTGATTGCATCGACTCATTGACTCTTCAGCAATCCCCCACACTAAGCATGCTTGTAGCGACAGTGGAGAGGAAAAACTCCCTTTGAACAGGAAGAAACCTCCAGCAGAACCAGGCTCAGTGTGAGCGGCCATCTGCTGAGGCCGACTGGGGTTAAACAGACCACATTTAATTGTTTTAACTTTTTCCCCAATTGGAGTTATTTTAATTTTAATTAGATTATCATGATTTACTCCTTTGGGAATCTTTGCTAATTTATTAGATTTTGGTCGTGGGCAAGACACTGTCTGGATGGAGTAAAGAGTGGGTAACAGTAGAGAAGCTGCAGAGATGTGTGTTAAACTACAACTCTGCTTCCTGGTCTGCACCCTGGGTGGTCAGGGTTTTGGAGGACTAATAAATGTGGCCAGATTCCTAGAAAGAAGAGCTGCACCATCCAAAGTGGGATGGATGCCGTCTCTCCGAATCAGACCAGGCTTTCCCCAAAAGGATTGCCAATTATTAATGTAGCCCACGTTGTTTTCAGGACACCACCTAGACGACCAGCGATTGAATGACGACATGCGGCTAAACATGTCATCACTGGTCAGATCAGGGAGGGGACCAGAGAAAATTACGGAGTCCCACATTTTTTTGGCAAACTTACACACCGAAGCAACACTAATTTTAGTGACCTCCGATCGGCGTAACCGGGTGTCATTACCACCAGCGTGAATAACAATCTTACTGTATTTAACCTTATCCTTAGCCAGTAGTTTCAGGTAGGATTTGATGTCGCCCGTTCTGGCCCCCGGCAAACATTTGACTATGGTCCCTGGTGTCTCTAATGCCACGTTTCTGACTATGGAGCTGCCAATCACCAGAGTGGGCTTCTCAGTGGGTGTGTCACTGAGTGGGGAAAACTGGTTAGAAACGTGAACGGGTTGGTGGTGACCAGTGGGCAGAGATCCACGACTACGCTTTCTGCGTACAGTTACCCAATCGCCTGGCTGCTCAGGCACTTTTGGAGGACAGCTACGTGGGGGGCCTACTTTAACTCCTGGATGTTCAACAGCCTGAAGCCTGGATTCTAACTCTGACACCCTCGCCTCCAAAGCTACAAAAATACTACACTTATTACACATCCCATTATCACTAAAGGAGGCAGAGGAATAGCTGAACATCTGACACAGAGAGCAGGAGAGAGGAGAGGAAGAAGGAAGAGTTGGAAAAGAGTCAAGGGAGGGAGAGAGAGAAGCCATAGCAATGCTAAGCTAGCGCTAGCCTAGGCTAGCTACTCCTTGCTATCAGAAATAAAACCGTGTGAAACTGACAAGTGCTCAGTAGAAAAGTGCAGCAGAAGGTGCTATGTTTTAAAGTAGTCAGTTAGAGTTACTTAGATACAGAGATATCACAGAGAAAATAACTTAATTCAGACAGAGATAGTCTAAACAGCATCCAGTTAGTCAGAGTCAGAGAAACAGGACTACACTGAAAAATAGGCCGATCTCCAACATCTATAAACAAAGGTGTTGTTTTATTTTATTTAAAAAAAAAACTGAAAAATATAAACAAATTCTGAGAAAACTGCAAAGTTACTCTCCAAACCATTTTTGATGAGAAAGTTTCTTCAACGTTTTTTTTATTTTTTTTTATTGCAACAATAATGCAGGATCATACCATTATGGGAAAACAGAGGGATGCAGCTGTGAGGAGGATTTTTATTACGCCTGAATTTCATTTTTCATTTCATTTCATTTAAGTCTGTTTTTGCACCAAAAACAATTTTAGTCCAACTTGACCCTTTAGAAACCTTTAACAGTTCTGTTTCACTTAAATAGAATTACCGTATGCTTTGAGTTAAAAACAGTCAAGAATACCACATGCTTTATGCCTTTTTGTTTGACCCTGTTCACTTCAGAGATATTTTTAATGTCAAATCAACCAGAAAGGAGCAAACTTTTAATATATTGATCTTGGATTTTTATTTTTCTTATTCATTTAAAGGAAACTGAATGATTCCTGTTTGCAGAATGTTACTTTTTTCTTATCTACTCACTCAATTAATTCTAAGAATAATCTCTAGAATAATGTTCTGCTGCAGCAAACCCTCATCAGGTTAGCTGGATTTATTATGTTAAGTAAAATGTTCTGCTTCTGCTTCATGGCTGCAGATCTAAAAAGACTAAAACTCTGATTTCTGAGCTCTTCTTTGCATGGATTTGTTTTGTGATATTATGTGCACTGAATGTATAAAACTGTTCTATTTATTTAAGCTGTTCTCTAAGTTTCTGTTTGCTGCTTTAACCTTAACAGCACCTAACAGAGAAGCTGGCGCTCACCACTAATGTAAGTGTGACGTGTTCTGCAGGCTTGGCCTCTCTCTGCCGTCTCTACATGTTTCACTCAGACTCTCTGCTCTCAGGTTTTCCATGTGCTCTCATGTCTCAGACTTTTCAGAATATACTCATCTACACAGCCCTGTTAAAGGAAGAAGAAAAAAACATCTGTATTCATCATTTAAAACCGTAATAACGTTTTTTCTTCTACTGAAAAAACAGCTGAATGATCAAAACAGAAATGTGCATAAAAAAAACCTTTTGAAATTAATTACAGCTTTCTTTGACTTTTTAACTCTACTTTATAAAAGCTCCGCTTGATGCTGATGACATCTCTAGTCTGCCTCCCTCTTCATGTGAAGCTGAAGGTTTTCTGCTCATTTAAGTAAAAAAAAAATAATAATTTTCCTCTTGTAAATACAGAAGAGGATTAGGGCCACTGAAAAAAAAAAGAAAAAACTTAAAGGAGAATTCCGGTTTTTAACACTTTTAGCCCATTTTCTGTAGTGTCCAGGATGAAATCGAATGATCGACACCAAAATTTTGACAATTGGTCCTGTCTCTGCTATTTGGCTCATGCAGAATCCCCCCCTGGCTGCTTCAGAATGGCTTCCATAGTGCATGTCTGATAATGCCCTTAAAACAACCTTAAACGTTCTTTTTTTAAAATATGCTACTCACCGGGTCGTCAGCGCTGTTCAATGACGTTCCAAAAAAAGTTTCGTAAAGAAAAAACGTTCCTGTAGTGTTTTATTTAGCATTTTGTAAATCCCATTGAGTTCTGTTGGAATAGTCAATATCCCTCCGCCACCGGAAACGGAAATGGGGCCTGTTTACACTTAGTTGTAGTCTTTTCGCTTCACTCTGTGTACTCCGACGTCGAGGTGCTAACGTCTCTGTTAAACACTTTAAAAAACTCTGAAAATGGAATACGAAAGGTGGATTCTTGATTCTCGACGTCGGAGTACACAGAGTGAAGCGAAAAGACTACAACTGTGTAAACAGGCCCCATTTCCGTTTCCGGTGGCAGGGGAATATTGACTATTCCAACAGAACTCAATGGGATTTACAAAATGCTAAATAAAACACTACAGGAACGTTTTTTCTTCACGAAACTTTTTTTGGAACGTCAATGAACAGCGCTGACGACACGGCGAGTAGCATATTTTAAAAAAAGAACGTTTAAGGTTGTTTTAAGGACATTATCGGACATGCACTATGGAAGCCATTCTGAAGCAGCCAGGGGGGGATTCTGCATGAGCCAAATAGCAGAGACAGGACCAATTGTCAAAATTTTGGTGTCGATCATTCGATTTCGTCCTGGACACTACAGAAAATGGGCTAAAAGTGTTAAAAACCGGAATTCTCCTTTAACTGATTTTTTTTAAATTTTATTTTCAGTTTAGTATGGGGGGAAAAATTCAGAATTCTGACTTTTTTCTCAGAAGTCTGACTTTTTTCTTAGAATTCTGACTTTAATCTCAGAATTCTGACTTTAATCTCAGAACTCTGACTTTAATCTCAAAATTCGGACTTTGATCTAATTCTAATTCTGACTTTAATCTCAAAATTCGGACTTTGATCTAATTCTAATTCTGACTTTAATCTCAGAATTCGGACTTTGATCTAATTCTAATTCTGACTTTAATCTCAGAATTCTGACTTTAATCTCAAAATTCGGACTTTGATCTAATTGTAATTCTGACTTTAATCTCAGAATTCTGACTTTAATCTCAAAATTCGGACTTTGATCTAATTCTAATTCTGACTTTAATCTCAGAATTCTGACTTTTTTCTCAGAATTCTAACTTAAATCTCAGAATTCTAATTTTAATCTCAGAATTCAAACTTTTTTCTCAGAATTCTGACTTTAATCTAATTCGAATTCTGACTTTTTTATTGTCAGAATTCAGTCAGAATTCTGAGATTAAAGTCAGAATTCTGAGAAAAAAGTTTGAATTCTGAGATTAAAATTAGAATTCTGAGATTAAAGTCAGAATTCTGACTTTTTTCCCATACTAAACTGAAATAAAATTTAAAATTCAGTTAACTTTTTTTTCCCACTGGCCCTAATTCTCTACCATATATAATATTTATTATATTCTTTTTAAATCCTGAAAATTTACAGTGAGTCCAGAGCAGACCAAACCCTGACACCTGTTAGAGATTCATCCTACCAAGATGTAGAGCAAACAGACTCAAGAATTGTTTTAACCAATAATAAAACCAATTCTAGAGAGAAAATATCCTGATTTATCAGCTCCTACCCTTCATTTTAACAGAGCTGTGTTCACTTCTCATGCCAATCCAAGAGCAAAACCTCGTTCACAATTTTTCACCATTTTAACAAGTGTTCAGAACAAACCCAAAAGCTTACAAATAACTGTTTATTGGTCCTATTTAATAATAAGGTTAAAGTATGCTTGCTGAATACCTGAAACTTGCTTTATTACAGCATATTCAAAATAAACAATTGTTCAAATGAACAACTTTAAAAGAAAATCAGTTTCAATGTGTGAATATGAGCTGAAAAGTCATCTAAAGGTTTACACCAGCTTTACTCCACTTGTGAAAATAATGAAAATACTGAATGACTTTTAAATAAATAATAAAATGTTTGATTTTCCATGTAAAGACAAATATTTCTCCCCTAGCCAAAGCCAGCTGTTCCATCCCTGTCATCTGATGCTTGTTGCCATGAAGACTTTGCGCCCCCTGCTGACAAATGTGTAGAATAGCATCCCTACTCCCCTACTTACTGGAAAAGAACTGCAGTAAAATAAAGGCAGGAGTGTTTGCAGGTGTCTAATCTGCAACATGTAAGGGGGGGGAATTATACAATCATTTTCATATATGTGAGATATTTTCATCTATATATCCGGTGCCTGTTTGTACGACTGCGTATTGGGGCCATTAAAAAAAGTGGAATTTATATTTTTGAATTTAAATCGGAATTTTTTGTGGGAAAATAAATACGCAAATATGCGTGAATAAATAGGCAAATTTCGTGAAAAAAACTGGTAAATTTAAAAGATTATAAAGATGCAAATTTAGAAAGAAAAACGTAGAACATTTACAAGAAAAAACATGTAAATTGTTGAGAAAAACTTGCAAATGTACGAGACTGAATTGGCAAATTTCAAGAAAACAACGTGCAAATGTTCGAGATTATTAAAACCCTAATTTAGAAGGAAAAAGTTGAAAATCTACGAGAATAAACCTGCAGATTAATTGTATCATTAATTTTTACTTCAATGAGGAGGCCATTGTCTCATTGCATCGCTAAAGCCCCCAATTAATGAGCATTTGCATGTGCTTTTTGTTGCGCACTTTAACAGCTTCATAATCTCAAATTGCTCCACAAAACTACTGGTTTAAATCTTGCAAATTTGCTCATTTTTCTCCTAAATTTGCGAGTATTTTTTATTTATTAATTTTCTACTTTTTCTCTTAAGTTTTAATTTGGTAAATTAGTATGTTTATTCTGGTAAATCTGCAACTTTCAGCTCAACGATGTAAATTCTGTTTTCCTGTCTCTGAATGGCCCCATCAGGCCGCGGTGCGTTTGTTCCCTTATAAATGCTGCCTGACTGACCCCTGGTGGTTCATTTCGGGTACTGCATGCGGCAGGATGAGGTGAAATTTTAAAATAATTTCTCCTTCCTTCTTCTTTTCCAGGTTCTTCAGTCAGCGAAGGAGCAGATAAAATGGTCCATCCTAAAATGACATGGGAAGAAGAAAAATAAAATCAATGAAAGAAATGTTGGATATCTCTAAGCTATTTTCCTAGATCCAGGTCATCAGCTGACAGTCTGACAGAAAAGGGCTCAGTAAAATAGTTTGTTTTTTTTTATTTTATTTTTTTCTGATGGTGATTCGTTACATTTGTTTAAAGTGTATTTAATTGGTTTTATTGTATTTTTTGTCTAATTGATGGATGTATAGAGTGGAAATGTAGCAAGCCAAACGGTGCTGCAGGTTCTTAAAGGGACACCCAGGAAATGATCCAGTGCCTGATCAGTCAGCAGAAAGGTTGAAATATGAAAAGAAAACGTTTTAACTGATATTTTCAACCAAATATCCCATATTTAATGGTGCTTTCTTCTCTTTAAATCATGTTTTATTCACCGTCTCACAAACATATCTGCTGTAGCTTCAAAGGGATAAAAAAAAAACAATGAGGGGAAAAAAAATCAAATATGCTTTAAAGTGGTTTGAAAATATTTCAAACTAAAACGTTTTGCCTTTTTTCAGCAGGAATTTGGACTTTAGGCCTAAATAAACAGCAGCGACCTTTTCTACAGAGTTTGAAGGATTATTTACTTTGAAATTTAAAGACACTAAGAGTAGCTTGGGTGGTTTTTATTACAGATGCACTGAAAACAAGATGCAAAAACATTCACTAGATTTTATTATCAAGAAGAAAACAAAGAAGCTAAACCTGGAAATGTTACAAAATATTGTCTGTTTTACTTTTCGTGATAAACTCAGATTGTTCGTAGATAATAAATATTTTCATAGATGAAAATAAATAAAATGCCAAACATGATTTTTATTGGAGGTGATGTTACTGAAAGGAGCTGATTTTATCTGCTGTTGGTGAGACTCACAATAAAAACGCTCATACTGGTTTTAGTTTTCTGTTTTGGTCTTTTTTTTATTATTATTATTAAACTTTTATATTTTGAGGGAAATTGTGTTGAAATTTAATAAAAAAAAAAAACGAACATGGAGAGATTTGCGGACTCTCAGCCAATCAGATTTCAAATCCCCAGAAAACCGAATATTTAGTGGCAAGATGGACCAATGAAAACAAGGGAGAGGCTGAGGGATGTTATTGGTTGAAGGCACGTGACGTCAGTCGACACGTATTGGGTCCATCTAGCCAATAATATGTTACGCTTTGGCTTCTCAGGGATCTGATTGGCTGGATGAGTCATCCAGCCCAGCATGCCGTCAAAAAATCATAGATTTATCAATAAATTCAGAATAAAACCCAAATATAAAGCAAACAGGAATAAAAGCATAAATAACTGGTTGAAAGGGAAAACTAAGCCTTCAGTTTTGAAAAAACAAACACTTAACACTTATTAGTAATAGTGGTTTTTAAACACAAGTATTTTGGTAAATGATCAAATTTGCTTCCCCCCCTCCCCCCAATAAAAAAACATGAGGGTTGTTGAAATCAGGGTTAACCAATAAAAAATCAGTGGGGTCCTACTAATCCAGAGACATTTTTAATTATAATCTGTTACTTGAAACAGAAATTAACACTACGGTGTTTATTCATCCATGTTATACATTGAATTTTTGAATAAAAAAAAAATATATATCTATATAAAAAAATATATATCTATATAAAAAAAAAAGGCTTAGTAGGCCTATTGCCTAATGGTAAATCCACCCCTGATCAAGTAATGGTCCCTTTCTTCTGGCTTTTATTCATTTAGTTCAGCCCAAAAAAGCACTGATGTCAAAATGTGTTCACCGTAAAATTCAAATAAAATATTAATGATTTTGCTCTATTCATTTGATTACTGGTTAATAGGTTATTAAATATAGTCTCACTGAAACAACAGTGATGTTTGTTGAAATGATGAATTTTAAAGTAACACAAACATGTCCCACTAATTTAACACATTTGTCCCAAAATTAAAGTTTTTGTTTGTTTGTTTTAGTTTTTGGATGAGCTGCAACCTTGTGTGTGTTTAAAACTGTCCCAGATTTGAAGGACTCTGGTTTTGTCCTGCAGTTAAATAAAACAAAATTTTGTCCTCTTAATATTCTGATTGAAACAAACAAAACAAGCTGTTGTGACGCTTCAGGGTGAATCATAAATCAATGTTTTTAGATGAGCGGAGAGATTCAGCTAATATCAGTTTTTAAGTTTTGCTCTGGATTCTCAGGTTTGATTCTGGACTTTGAATAGGCCATTTTTTTTTCTGATCATTGGCTCAGTATGCTCTGTTTTTTTGGGTGATTGCTGGTTTTCCTCCTGCAGCTCATGACCAGCTTCTCTGTCCTACTGACACCAAAAAGTTCCCAATACATGATGGTGCCACCACTAGGGGTGTAAATCACACCTATCATGGAAGATTCGATTCAGTATCGATTTCCTGACCCAACGATTCGATTATTTTCCATACTCAAGGAAACACCATGATAAGATTCAAATAAATGGGTTCATTTTTTTATTTTCTAACACCTTACAGGCTAGACAATGTTTCAAATTTGAAAGCCGTAATGCATAATATCGTTATGCATTTTATTTGAGAAACAACAACAAATAACAGAAGTAGCAAAGTTGTACTCCACCTATAAAACAATAATACCCCTGCGTTATAGATTCTGAAGGCCTTGCTTTAAAAAATACTGAACAAAATCAGTGCAATGAGTGCAATGCAATACCTCGGCTCCAGAATATCAAGCAGGTATCGGAAGCCTTCGTTCTCCACAACGCAATAGGGACGTATGTCTGTACATATGAAGAACGTCCCAGCAATCCCTCACACTAAGCATGCTTGTAGCGACAGTGGAGAGGAAAAACTCCCTTTGAACAGGAAGAAACCTCCAGCAGTACCAGGCTCAGTGTGAGCGGCCATCTGCTGAGGCCCACTGGGGTTCAAGGAGACAGAAGCAGACATAGAAAAAGAAACATAGATACAAAAGGCAACTGTCAACCAGCTCCACAGGCGGCCCCGTCCAGGAAACACACAGCCAGGCAGACGAGCTCCGAGCCAGCTCCCATGTCAGAGGATGAAGAGAGCACATCCAGTTAGTCACAGTCAGAGAAACAGGACTGAAAAACAGGCCAAGCTCCAACATCTAGAAACAAAGGTGTTGATGGCAGCAGCACAGCTGATATCTCTCTCCAGGATGGAGTCACATTTCTGGAAATGTTGTTCAGTAGGTATAAGGACGACTCTAAATGTTTTATTTGTGTTTGAGCCCGTCACATCTCTGGCCTGCTCACATGTTTCCATGGAAAAAGCTGACATTTTGTGCTGATTCTGGAGAAGGTTTCTGCACATCCACATCCTCTGACCAGTGCTTAAATAGATCCAGAGTCACCTGGTGTTTTATATAAACATGGGACATTTTCCTTCAGGGGGCTCCTCAGTGACGCAGTGGGTAGCGCTGCTGCCTTGCAGCAAGAATGTTCTGGCTTTCGATTCCTGGTCCGCGTTTTCTGCATGGAGTTTGCATGTTCTCCCTGAGCATGCCTGGGTTCTCGCAGGGTACTCCTGCTTCCTCCCACAGTCCAAAAACATGACTGTCAGGTTAATTGGCTTCTCTAAATCCTGGGTGGAAAATGGATGGATGGATTTTCCTTCAGCTGTCTGAGGTGGAGAGCAACATTCAAGGTTTCATTTATTAAATTAAGCCATCATGGACATAAAGAAGCAGAGCAGTTCCAGATCAACACGTGACACTGACCACTTTTAAATGTTTATTTTACACAAACATAGAGCTGGAAACCAACCACAGATGTCACAGATGTTCATATCGGTCAGGTCTGACTTTGACCTCGGCGCTCTCTCCTGTTGCTGCTGTTGCTTCTTCTTTCTCCTGCTGTTGATCAGGAACTCAGACCTTTAGTGGGGAATTGGTGAAGATGGTTGTCTGAGTGTCGGAGGAGCTCAGGAACTGATCCAGGAACATTTCTCCTGGACGCTCCTCTTAAGGCTCCCAGCTGCTTTGTTGGATATTATTGTTATTTTGTTTTTATCCTAAAGCAGCATTTTATTTCTAAATGTCTAAATCATTGAATTTCTTTAGATCATTGTGTTACAAGTTACTATTTGAGATCTTTAAGTCTATTTCATGCTGTCACACAGGTTCTGCTCTATCAATCTAAAGGTTAGGAATAAATCAGGCCTCTGACACTAGCAAATTAAACTTGAAAAAAAAAATCTATAATAGAATAAAGAGTGATTTTTTAAATGGAAGTATGAAAATTGAACCTCGCAAAACGTTTTCATATATTTTAAATCCGTGTATCATTCGTTCTTTCTATTTTCAATTGTCAATCAAAAAATAAAAAATTGACTGGTTATTTTGTTTTTTGTTTTTTATGGTTAAACCAAAAACGAAAAAAGGATTTGTTTTTCATATATCAATTCTAAGCTCAGATCAAGAATACGAAATGGAAAAACGGACAGCAACGCAGAATTTGATTTTAATATTTAATCGGTACAGTTTACGTGACCCGGAAATAGCTCTTTGCGCGGCAGTGGGGTGATGAAGTGGCTACCATGGCGACGCTAGAACGCTGTTTGTTGTTGCTAGTTAAAAGTACAGTGCACAGAAAAGTTTCAAGAAAAAAGTTATACCTGGAAAATCCTGCTGATTTTCTCCATTGTCATGTCCTCCTCCTTAAGAGTCACACGCTTGGATCCTCGAGCGTAACTGTCCATGGCTGATAGGTCCGACTGCCTTATCTGGTGCAGCTTGATCGAACGTGGTGGGAGTAAGCCAATTGTTTTTTTTAGCTAAAGCTCCACCAAACTTCCGGGTCACGTAAACTGTACCGATTAAATATTAAAATCAAATTCTGCGTTGCTGTCCGTTTTTCCATTTCGTATTCTTGATCTGAGCTTAAAATTGATATATGAAAAACAAATCCTTTTTTCGTTTTTGGTTTAACCATAAAGAACAAAAAACAAAATAACCAGTCAATTTTTTATTTTTTGTTTTTGATTGACAATTGAAAATAGAAAGAACGAATGATACACGGATTATTTTATCTTCTGAAATACTTTATTTTTATTCACATTTAGTTATTTTCATATTTTCTTCTTTTCAAAATTTATTGATTGATTTTCTCTTTTTTAGATTCACTTTTACTAATTGCATTGTTATGAAATAGTGTTTTCCAGGTCGCATTCTCTTTAGCTCCGGGGGCGGGCTTTCCTCTGGGTGAGGAGCAAAGACGCATTTTTAATTGGTCCACTAGAGGTTGGCAACAACATTTCTATTGGCCAAGAGTGAGACTTTGTCTTGGACTTGAATGAAGAGAGTGTGATTGAAGCAGAGGTGGAAACTATTAAAACCACTGGAAAAAAAATCAGTGCTCATCAATTGACCTTTGTAATGTGGACCTTTTGAACAGACATTTACTTTCAGACATTTTGTGTCATTTTAATAAAAGTTAAAAAATATTTATTTTTTTAAAAGCCAAATTATTTATTATTTATTTCTTACTTCCTTTATCCCATAGTGATTCTTGAAAGTCTGACTGTATGATCTGGTTGAATTGTCTCTATAAAGTGCCTTGAGATGACATGTTGGGAATTAAAAATAATACAATAGGCAGACACCCTGTCTACTTTTAAGGCTAGGCTTAAAACTTTCCTTTTTGATAAAGCTTCTAGTTAGAGTGGCTCAGGTTATCCTGAGCTATCTCTATAGTTCTGCTGCTATAGGCTTAGACTGCTGGACGACATAGGGACCCCTTTTTCATCATTCTGCTTCATTCTATCTCTATTCTCCCACTCTGCAGAATCTGTTAGTTCAATCTCTGGCCTGAACACATCGGCTGCATACAACTTTTTATCCGATTTTTGTCCCACTGACTGTGCATAGAGAGGCTCCAACTAGGCAGGCTGAGCAGATCAGAGTAGAGTTTTTTTTTC